CCGATCCCACACGCCGCTGCAGGACGCATCATCGCACTGGGCTGCCATGGCTGTCAGCTTTCCAAGCAAGGCAATCCCTGCGCGCCGCAATAACCGCTTGCGCTTGGAGCGCTTACGCCGTATAACGTCATGTCTTTAACCTACACATGCCGAATATATGCTGTTATTCACTTAGTGCCGGAACATATTGCACGGCGACTGTGGAATTTTCCAACATACCAGCACAGCTCCTTAGTACCTCCATTGTAAGCCTGGGGTGAAGGAGCACGAGGGGGCAGCAGGACGACAAGGGGGGATCAGGCAGCAAGCGGAGCATGAGGATGAATTACATTCGCCAGGTCAACCAAGAAGGAAACCAAAAGATACCGATACTGCTACTCCCCAGACCTCTCCTGGGGTGCGTTCTGACCAGGATTTCGAAGCGAATCCAGCGGTGGCGTCGAAGGCCTCCCAGGAAGCCCAAACAAGGGAAAACGACGAGAGGGTAGCGGTATGGATACCTTCTCCTCCTCTGAACCTAGTCAGCGGCCCCCGCCCACTCCCACCCTGCTTCTCATACAATCAAAAACCCGAATAAGGACGCGCGGTGAGGACGCAAGACCCTTGGCAGCCGAAATTGGGACGTTTGGGGCGGCGGACGACGAAAACCCCAAGGACGCAAGAGCAAAGAAAAGCAAGGACGCAATGGTACCCTGAGCAAAGTCGCGCGTCCTTATTTGGGCTTTTGACTGTAGCATACGAACCAAGAGCAACACTGGAATTAGAGAGCGCTCACACCTGACGAGCAAACGGCGCTCGCGCACGGAGCCCTCTTCCGACGACTCTTCTGCGAAAGGACGGCTCGTCACGCGGGCCGCGCAGGGGCGGGAATCGAACCGTAACGGGCCCCTCGCTCGCCGCATCGGCAAGAACATGACTTGGCCTTCTGCCTGGCGGAGCAACCTCCGATGGGCGTGCGAAGACGAAGCATACGCCGCGCCGACACAAGATGTTTTCCACGTGCAAAAACCTGTGCGGCGTTTGGGCATGGGCTTTCCTCTCGCGAGCCCGCTGCCACTGCGGCGAGCGAAACATGCGCCGCGCCCGCGCGAGAACGCCATTTCCAAAGGGATTAGGCATGCAGCTTGGGCGGGGGCGACCAGTGGCCTGCTCGCGCAGGCCCCCCAAACTCTCTGCTGCGCGGCGCGGAAGCGGGCGCGTCACCTTCACGCGAAATGCACGCGGCGCTGGGGCGAGAGCGACATTTTCGTGCGCTCGCGCATCGACGCATTGACGTGCTCAATTCGCAGCGCCAAAGCGAGGGCGACATTTGGCGTGTTCACGAAGGTTGTGCGCCCCGGGCCATTCGCGTCGCGCCTTGTGCAACGTCGACGCAACAAAACGCCCTCGTCGACAGCAAACACATCGACATTGTCTTGGTTGAGACAAATACGATATATACTCCTGGAGTCGGGCGCAACGATAAGTGGGACCGGCATAAGGGGGCATGCGTCGACCCCAAATCGCCCATTGATCGCAGATAGGGGCCCGATAGCCCCAACCAGCCCAGGAAGGCGCGGATTCACTATCGGAGGCCTATCGCCGATCTATCGGCGATTTATCGCCGATTCCAGGTCGACGCATCCCCCCATTATGCCTGTCCCTCCCTATCGTTGCCCCCCATGGATGGAACCCTCATCGGCTTGCCAAGACCGGTGGCAAAATGTGAAGGGCAACGCCGGGGAAGGACCTGCTCAGGGGGCAAACATGGACCTGTGAAGGGGCCCAGTGACGCAGGAGTAAGCGTGCCTGATGATTTTCTGTTTGGAAAAGTGCTTCCCAGCCCCCTAGCCAGCCTACAGCTGGAAACCAATAGAGAAGAAAACTAACATCATCTCTTAAAAATGTAGCAGAGTACTCGTGGAGTTCTTAACACGCGAATCAGTGCTCAGATCGAGGAAAACCTCTCTTGAATATGATCTTGAAAACTCGCAAAATGTATTTTCTGGAATGTTATACGAAGACGGTCCCCGCGTTCCTCTCCTCTCCTCTCCTCTCCTCTCCTCATCCCCCTCCTCCATCACAATCATCATCATCATCACCCGTTTCAGCACACCCCTCACGCGTTTCGGGGCCCCGCAGGGAACTCCATCGAAGGCCCCAATTGGAACGCCCGCGTGCGTCACGCACCACCCAGTACAGCGCTGCGTGGCCCCACAGGGAGCTCCATCGAAGGGACCAATGGGACCGCCCGCATGCGTCAGGCACCACCCAGTACAGCGCTTCGTGGCCCCATACGGAACTCCACCAAAGGTCCCGGTGGGACCGCCCGCATGCGTCACGCACCACCCAATACAGCTATTCGTGGCCCCGCAGGGAGTCCCACCGAAGGCCCCGATGGGACCGCCCGCGTGCGTCACGCACCACCCAGTACAACGCTTCGTGGCCCCATAGGGAGCTCCACCGACAGCCACAGCGGGACCGCCCGCGTGCGCCACGCACCACCCAGTACATCGCTTCGTGGCCCAATCGGGAGCTCCACCGAAGGTCCAACTGGGATCGCACGCGTGCGTCACGCACCACCCAATACAGCGCTCCGTGGCCCCATAGGGAGGAGCTCCACCGAAGGCCCCGATGGGACCGCCCACGTGCGTCACGCACCACCCAATACAGCGTTTCGTGGCCCTTTATGGAGCTCCACAAACGGCCACAATGGCACCGCCCGCATGCGTCACGCACCATCCAGTACAACACTTCGTGGCCCATAGGGAGCTGGCTCCACAGACGGCCCCAATGGCTCCGCCTGCATGCATCGCGCACTACCCAATACAGAATTTCGTGGTCCCATAGGGAGCCCCACCGGAGGTCCCATTGGGACCGCCCGCGTGCGCCACACACCACCTAGTACATCGTTTCGTGGCCCATAGGGAGCTCCACAAACGGCTACAGTGGCACCGCCCGCATGCGTCACGCACCACCCAATACAGCGCTTCGTGGCCCACTAGGGAGCCCCACCAATGGCCCCAGTGGAACCGCCCGCGTGCGTCACGCACCACCCAAGACAGCGCTTCGTGGCCCCATAGGGAGTCCCACCGAAGGCCCCGATGGGACCGTCCGCGTGCGTCGCGCACCACCCAGTACAACGCTTCGTGGCCGCATAGGGAGCCCCACCGAAGGTCCCAGTGGGACCACCCTCATGCGTCACGCACAACCAGTACAACGGTTCGTGGCCCCATAGGAAGCCCCACCGGAGGTCCCACTGGTACCGTCCGCATGCGTCGCCCCCACCCAGTACAACGCTTCGTGGCCACATAGGGAGCCCCACCGAAAATTCCAGTGAGACCACCCTCATGCGTCACGCACAACCAGCACAGCGTTACGAGGCCCCATAAGGAGCTCCACCGAAGGCCCCGATGGGACCGCCCGCGTGCGTCACGCAACACCCAGTACAGCGCTTCGTGGCCCCATATGGAGCCCCACCGATCCGTGGCCCCATAGAGAGCTCCACCGAAGGCCCCAGTGGCAAAGTCCACATCGCTTCCCCCATCCAGCACAACGTTTCGTGGCCCGTAGGTAGCTCCACCGAAGGCCCCAGTCCAGTGGCAAGTTCGGCTGCGTCTCCCCCACCCAGCACAGCGTTTCGTAGCCCATAGGGAGCTTCACCGAAGGCCATAGTGGCAAAGTCCGCATGCGTCTCCCCCACCAGCACGACGTGTCGTGGCCCATTGGGATCTCCACCGCAGGCCCTAGCAGCAAAGTCCGCATGCGTCTCCCCTACCCAGCACAACGTTTCGTGGCCCATAGGGAGCTCCGCTGAAGTCCGCATGCGTCTCCCCAGCCCAGTGCAGCGTTTCGTGGCCCATAGAGAGCTCCTCCGAAGGCCCCAGTGGCAAACTTCGCATGCGTCTCCCCCACCAAGTGCAGCGTTTCGTGGCCCCCATGGGGAGCTCCACCGAATACGATACCCAGAATTGCGGCTCTCAGAACTACATGTGGTTGGGTCTTCCGCCGGGCTCATTTCTGGGTTTTCGCCCCCCCCCCCCCCCCCCTCATTTCCCATAGTTTCCAATGTTTTCTGGAGGATCGACGATTGACGATGTGTCTGTGTTTTTGTTCCCCTCACAAGATACATCGCCGACTGGCTGGCCATGGTCCCCGACGGCAGATCCGCGGGCTCCTGGGCGGGGACTGGGCTATCAAACCCCCATCGGCGATGAGGTGGGCAAGTGGTCGATGCACCCCTCCTGGAGCCCAGCCCCTCTCCAAATTGCCCCGTGAAGAGATGAAGTCTGAGCAGCCGGCTCGTACCAGAAGGCTGCGCGATGAGGATGCAAGGGCCTTGGGCGCCCACTTCGAAGCTGTTCGAGCGGGGCGCGGCCAGCGAAAGTGGCCAAAGTCGGCGGCGGATCAAACTCCCTTGAGTAACCACCCTTTCGTGAGAACGGCCTAGGACCGAAACCGACGGACCTGGACCCGCAAAAATGACGGCCGCGAGGCCCTCTCGCGAACCGAAAACGGCCAACTCGCCAATCGACGTGTCAGGGTCGGAGGTCCATGAACCTCCGACAGGGATGGGCCGAGGAGGGCAAGGATGCACGGCTACCCTTGGGAAAGTTGCCCATCCTTACCATGCGGGTCAACCGTAGATTGTAGAGGAGGGGGAGGTGGAGGAGGAGGAGAACCGGCGACTACAATGGGTGCGGTTTCCAACGGGTGCGGTTTGCCTCGTGTCATATCTGCCCCTCCCGCCCCCGGGACACGGATCACACTGTCAGTCAATGCGACCGGATCACATGACACCGTCGCTCCTTATAGTAAAGTGGAGCACACATCGACAATCATGGCACTGTCTCTCGCAAGGGCCCCAGACAGGCCGCCACAAAGCAACTCGCAAACCGCGCCCTGGCGTAACCGCGCCACTTGCAGTCGCCGAGGAAAGGAGGAGGTCGCAGACGCGCGAGCAGGCCGGCCGGCGGGCCGGCCGGCCCCTTCAGGGGCGGCGCGGGCGGGCCGCAGCCCGGTCACAGGCATGTGAACTCCAAGACGTCGCTCTCGAGGTCCGCACGGGATTTGGAAGATGCAGCACTCTGTAGCCACGTGCCGGGTGTGCTTCCAAGCAAAACCATCTGCAGAAAATCTGTGATGTCGTCACTCCACCGCTTCTGCTGTCCGCCGTGTCGGCGGACGGGGAGGAGAAGGAGGAGGAGGAGGAGGCACAGGGGGAGGAAGAGGCGGAGGCGGAGGGGGAGGGGGAGGAACTTTTCTGCTGCCACGCACGCCTGCCAATTCCCGAGGCGCCTTGGCGCCAGGAAGCCTGCCACGGGGAAACTTCCAAAAAGGAAGCAGGGTTCAGGGATCAGGCCGAGGCGCAACATCCGAATCGGATGAGGGCTGGCGGGCAAGGGAAAAGGAGGAGGGCGCGGGATTCCCGCCGTCACGGTCCCGCAGCCCTCCGCACAAGCCGAGGGCCCCTAGGTGACCAGCCGTGATGGCAAGCAGCACAGAAGCACCAGCTGCTGCCTGCCACCATGGCTGGCACGCCTAGCGGACCTCGCAACCCGCAAAGGAACGACCGGGAGGAGGCGGCCTGCCGGCAGGAAGCCGCCAGAAGGGAGGCAAGCAGAGCGGCCTGCCACAGGAAGCGGCCTGCCTCCTCCTCCTCCGCCGCCTCCTCCTCCTCCTACTCCTCCTCCTCCTCTCCCTCCTCCTCCTCCTCCTCCTCCTCCTCCTCCTCCTCCTCCTCCTCCTCCTCTTCCGCCTCCCCCTCACCTCCTCCTCCTCCTCCTCCTCCTCCTCCTCCTCCTCCTCCCCTCGCCCTCCTCCTCCTCCTCCTCCTCCTCCTCTCCGTCCTCCTCCTCCTCCTCCTCCTCCTCCTCCTCCTCCTCCTCCTCTTGGCGTCGGGGGCGACGATCGGGGCGAATAGCCCAGGGGGATCAAAGGGCGCCGATGGTGCGTACCTTCGGCGAGGCTCCCGGGCGAAGACGTGCCATGCCCGCTCATGGGCGATTCGCCTCGATCGCCGCCTCCGATCCAAGCGATGTCCAGGCTCAGACCGCGGGCGTGACGAGGAAGAGCACGGCGGCCATGCTGTCCAGCCTAGGTCAGGCCTGTCGCCCCTACAAGCGAATTTTGGACGAAAGACTTAAGATACTCAAGAAATGCTCCCAAATGGTCCAACTAGTCAAATAATCGTCACTATACTAATTTTTGTCTATTTGGGGATCTTCCTCCTGTAGAGGGACGTGCCCGACTTAAGCATGCAGTTCCGCTGCCGCTTGATTCCGAGAGCTGGTCGCCGTTGATGGCCACTCTCAGAGACCAAACGGCCTGTCCGCGAGGAAAGGGATCATCCCGGGGATGTGGTCGAGAGCTCTGGGGACCATACGTGTAGAACACGCGACGCCAAAGGTCCTGGACATGGGACATCTGCCGTGCTGTTGGCCGGTACCCACAGGCCACCGGTCAGAAAACGCGTAAGTCACTCCAGGCGATGCTTGCAACCACTGGGGCGGTGCCAAACGATCATCAAAACGCATCCGGCGTTTGCCGAGACCGTCAGACAACGAAGCAATCCTCTTAAAACGACCGCGGCCCTATGATAGAGCAGGCACGGATGACCCGGTAACCAGAGGAAGCCCGTCGTGAATGGACTGACCTCAACCTGGCTCCACGTTGAACTGAGAGTATCGGGGAGACTATAAAATCTACAATGCCGCTGGAACGTTAATCCTGTACAGAACTCTCTATGTCAGCAACATCCGCACAATAAGAGTACGCAATGATGTGGCATGTGGCGTTCTCCGAATTAGGAGAGTGGCCCACGAAACAGACCATGAAAAGGAGGAGGACACACAAGTGGAAGAGACTCCATGTGGAGGCTGCGCAGGGAAACGAGGGGATGGAGAGACAACGCGTAATTAAACCTACGGCAAATTTCTGCCGCAACGGCGTGGGCCCTGGTCTGTGTCCTGTCACCGGGAGAACCGCTCAAACCTTAAGAGATCTCCGCTGCCAGGGCCTCCCAGAGGCCGCTTGGGCTCCTGTTTGGAACGCATACGCCCGCGCTGTGGTTGCGACGCCGCGACGCGATGGGGGGGGGGATACGGAGGGGCAGAGGTGAACCTTTCTTGCGGCCAGGGGTCTCCTTTGGGGCCCTTTTCCCAGTGGTCAAAGGAGGAGCAGCTACGGATACCGCTACGCCCCCGTCGGAATCCAGGCAAGAGGGCACCCCTGGAGAGGCTCGGGGGGTGGCGGTCTCGGCACCTCCCCGCAAAGCTGGATCAGCAAAGAAACGACACCACCCCACCTACGGCCCCGCGGGGCTCAAAAAATACCACGAAATCCCGTATACGCTACGTGGTGGTGTACGCTACGGCCTCCGATGAGCCGTGGCGCAGCGTGGAGGGCCGCAGGTGGGGTGGCGCAGTTTGTTCACTAATCGAAGAGCTCCTCTCCTGCAGCCCGTTCCCCCCCCCCCCTGTATCGCCACCCCCACGAAAAGCCAGAAGTCAAGGGCCCCCAGAAACCTCCGCGCGCTTGCCGCGGCCACCGAGTAGGAGGAAAAACGAGCAGGAGGACGAGGAGCAGGTCGAGGAGGACACAGGACTGAGTACGGGGCCCGCCAGCCTTGCCGCGGAGGCCCCGCGGCCCACCAGCCCGTCCACGTCTGTGGCGCCCGCCCCTTCTGAGGCCGAAGAAGGGCGCCGCCTCCCCCGCCCGGCGCCACTCCGCGGCCGCTGGGCGGGGGGAAACCCTCTGACCGGGGTCAGGCATGTTCTCCTACAGGCGGGTGTTGGGAGAAACATAGAATATAGCCAAAAATTATGTTGCTCCCGTCGCACGTCAGGACCACATCCAAAAGATAATTCCGAGCACCCAGGAAAATATCGAACGAGTGTCGAAAGAGTATCGCCTCCCGGGGCCCGACGAGCGAACAAGTGTACTGAGTTGGTGCTCGAAACTTCTTCTTGTGACCAAGGCTGAAGCAGGTTGCAACATTGTAATCCTACATGCGGATGTTGGAAGAACCGTAGATAATAGCCAGAACACGCTCAAAACCAGCCGACAGAGCACGAACCATCGCCACACGCCTACTCATGCAACCATTCTTGAACCTTCCTCCTGCAGAAGGGCATGCCCGACTCATTGCCAGGGGCGGAAGCCAGGGAACACAAACCTGTATATATACCCATAATGAACGGCTGGAGCCCAGTGCGGGTTTCTCTGATCGGCGTCGGACTCGAGGCCGGCGAGGGTCCCCTGGCGGCGCTCCCGGCGCCGCCCCCAGGGAGCTCCGCGAGCTCGGGAGGGGGGGCCCTGCCCTGGTCCCACAAGTCCACGCGAAACCCCCAAGCACTTCTTTTTGGGAGGATTCGTCTTTCGCCGATTCGGAAGAGAGGCAGAGACCACCGCCACCGAGATGACTAGCAAGAAAGGGGCTCCACATCCACTGTGGGAGGGGACCGAAGGTAAGAGGGCCCCACAAGAAAACTAAATCGGGATAGGGGGTATTCTCTGCAGATGTGTCAAACCTGACCGCCCAGATGTATTATCCCTGACGCAAAGACGGGGGCCCAAGCGAGGCCACGTCTTCCCTGTGCTAAATGATCAGGGTTCGGGTTATGTCGGGCGTGTCCCCCATACGGGGGGATTCTGGGCGGAGAATCAAAAATACTCAAAACATGCCCCGCAAATGGGTAAACATAGTCCAAACAAATCGTCCCCAGACTATTGTTTGACTGTTTTTTTGCATATTCTTCCTGTAGAGGGACAGGCCCAGCGTAAGATTGGGGGCTAGGGGTTCCTCGACCCCAGAGCGTCGTCCTGTTCTGCGTGACGCTCGGGCGCGCCGCCGCCCAGTCCTCCTTCTCCCCCCCTCCTCCTGCTCCTCCTCCTCCTCCTTATCCTCCTCCTTCTCCTCCTCCTTCTCCTCCTTCTCCTCCTCCTCCTCCTCCTCCCCGACGAGTTCTCGGCGACGGTGGTCCCTGGACAACGTGCAGTCGACCCGAGGTCTATCATCGAGGTCGGTGCGGGAGGAGTGCCCTAATGTCCTTCGTGCTTATCGGACGTCCCTGTGCATCCTGGGGGGGGGGACCATGTATGATCTGTGGGATTTGGCCGACGGGGGGTCTCAGATGTTCTCGAAAGATGATTTCCTGGCCCAAGTCCGACTGTCAGACCGTGAAATGTCGGGGATCTCTGAGACCTGGCGTTCCTGGATGTGTCGGGCGCCGCGGCTGGAGCGATTTTGATCCCGGTCTTGGCCCCGCCCAATATTTCTACTCTGATCGATATGAGCACAGACGAAGGCCGCGAGCGCTCACGGCGACGAGCCCGAGACCATCGAGAACCCTCCGGTCCTAGAAGCCTCCCAGATGGGTTTGAAGCGAATGGGGTCGAAAGATCGCGCCGCATCGCCGATTCATCACCAATGCATCTGAGATGCATCGGCAACGTCGGCGATGCATCGGCGAAGCCGGCGTGGAGAAATCGCTCCGCGCCTGCGATGCGGCGCGATCCTCTGGCCCCATCTCTTTAAGGCTTCGGACTGCGCACAGACAGCACCCCCCCCGGGCAGCCACTTCCTGGCCTCAACAGGCCCCTCTGCGAAGCCAGGGGTGGTCCCGACACCTCACCCCGGGGGCGCTGAGCGCCCCAAAGCGGCGCTGGAAGCAGCGGAGGAGGAGGAGGAGGAGAAGGAGGAGGAGGAGGAGGAGAAGGAAGAGGAGGGAGGGAGGAGGAGGAGGGAGGAGGAGGAGCCAGGGTGTTGAGACCGCCCTAAGCTACCCGGGGGGGCCCCTGGAGGCCAGCTGCTGCTGCAGGGGGTGGCTGTCCTGCGCGCAGCCTGCAGCCCTCCGTGGGATCCAGCGCTGCAGGCAAAAGACGACACGTTGCGTACATATCACGACTGGAGCCCCTGGTACCGGGCGAACAACTAAGACGAAGCCAGGAGGAGAACTCCATCGGGAGAGGATGGATCGCGAGTCTCTGAGGTCTGGCGGCGCTGGAAGATGTCTCGGGCGCCCCGACAATCTCAGAGCGTTCCAGAACATCCTGGAACGGGTTTGTCCTCGTCCTCTCCCCGTCCGAAAACTCCCAATGCGAATCAATTGCAACGCTTGGATCCCAGGGTCACTGAGGGGCAACGATAGGGGGGACTAGCAGAAAACATCGGCCTGGAATTGGCGATACATCGCCGATAGATCGGCGATAGGCCCCCGATAGCAAATCCCAATGTTCCTGGGCGGGACGGGGCTATCAGACCCCTATCGCCGATCAATGGACGATTGGGGTTCGATGCATCCCCCGCAATGCCCATCCCCACCTATCGTATCAGGGCGACATCTACACATATGCACAGCTCCCTGGAAAGGCCCATCCTGAACCAAGTAGCTGTGTGTACGCCACGCCCTCCTGGCTCGGCCAGGAGGGCGTATACGTAGCTCCTGGGTTCAGCATGGGCCTGGCCTGGGAGCAGTGGATCTGTATAGATTCGTCGTCAGATCCTTGCCCCTCAGTCTCCAGGTCTACTCTGCGGTCGGGCATGTCCCCCTACAGGCGGATTTCGGAGGAAACATTAAACGTTATGAAAAGAACCAGTGATGATCATTTTTTGGTAAAATAAAGTCGTCCGCGTATTTTGTTCAACTATTTTTGACTTTCCCAAGGCTCCCAATTTCGCGCTTCGCGCTGCGCGAAGCGCGAAGTGCGAATAACTTCGCGCTCTCCCGCCGCCTCCCAGGGGAGAAGAGGAGGACGAGGAGGAATCGGAGCCGAACCGCGAAGCGCCAAGCGAGAATAACTTCGCGTCCTCAAGGGCGCCCTTGTTTCCATCCTGTAGAGGGACACGCCCGACGCAAGCCTACTCGGGCGCCATCTGGGAAGCTCCGACTCCTGGACTTGCGGTCGCCCGGGCCGCGGCCCCCGCCCTCCGGGCCGAACGCGCTGGACCTGGACTTGCGGCTCTCCGCCAGGGGGCTCCCCTCGGGGCTCCCGAAGTGATGCGTGCGCTTCCCGTTGGCGTGCGACCGGATGGTGATCCGCCGCCGTTCCTGCACCGGCTGGCGTAAGGAACCGAACTTTTTACACCGATGCTATTTTCTGGTCCCGCTTTGAGATTCGCACAAGAAAACGAATTCTGGTGCATACAGCATCCTGGTGTATACATGTTTTGTTGTTTCCACGGGAAAACGGGGAACAAAGTATACACCACACCACCCCGACGTCGTCCCCGACCCTCGAAAAAGTCCTGGCATTGAAAACCAGCCCGCCACGGGTAATGTATACGTTCCAAATTCCGTGGCGTGCGTGCGGGGCCCGACGGCACAGGCTGGCCGCCCCAGCCACTCCTGCCACGAAGGTCTTCGTGCAGTGAAGAGCGGCATCTCTCCTTCTCCCGCCCTCCGCTGCCGCTCTCCGGCTCCTTCCCCGCTCTTGCAGCTGGACAGTACGGTGGAGGCCAGTCCACAAGAAACCTTCCTCGAGAAGCCCAACCCCGAGACCCAAGGCCGTCCATCGACTTTTGGTGTGGGAACGTCGCGCTTTCCACAGCAGAGCCATCGAAACCCAAGACACCCAGGGAACCCTGGAGGCGAGCAGGGTGTTTCCTGGCATGCCCCCACGGTAGTATGAGGTCGGGCATCTCCCTCTACAAGAGGTTTTTGGGCGACAACTGAAACATATCCCACAAATGCCCAAACGTACTCAAAGGTGGCTGAACAAAACTCGTCCCAAGACTATTTCTTTCATGCGAACCCTACCCCTACCTCCCGCGATTTCCGAGGGAGAGGGTAGGGCTCACTTCGTTCGGGAGCTCCCGAGCGAAGTGAACCCCACCCTCCCCCTGAGAAATCGTGGGGGGCAGGGGCAGGCTTCGCATGTGGCCCCCTATTCTTGACGATTTGGAGATATTCCGCGTGTAGAGGGACAGGCCCGACTCAACTGCAGTGCGTGCCCGAGCCCGGCTCGTCTGGAGCGCGCGTCCGGACGGTAGGGCAAGGCGTGGTCGGGTTCGGCCCCTGCCGGCGCCAGGCGGGGGGCTCGCCCACGGCCGCCGCCCCCGGGAGCCACGTCCCGGGGGGCCCCCCCGGGGCTGCGGCTGGGGGCACAGCGTGGCCCGAAGGGCCCCCAAGGTATGCGCAGATCTCAGGTTTTTGAGTACGTCTACATGCACGCGTGCACGTACAGATCAGTGTGCACGTGCGCGTGTGTATACACACACACGCATATATATATATATATATGTATATATACATATATACACACACTCTAACCAATATACCAACCGCCAGCCGACATCCCCGAATATCGATCTCCCAGGCGGTGGTTCTGGCCAAGCCCCCGCCTCGGAACCAAGCCACACGTCGGGACCCCATGGGCAGTGCCGCCCCCAGCGAGCGCTCGGCGCGCTGGGCCTTCCGCGCCAGAAGACGCGGCCGAAACAAAAAGCTTCAAACGTGAGGTCCGTGGAACGCTCCCATTCTCGAGGGCGCGCAAACATGGATTGGCGATCCATGGATTTGGTGCGCGGTCGCCAAATATCCATGGATCGGGGAAGGTGCCCTCCCCAAAATGCGGCCGGTGCCGCCTGGGTCGGCGGCGGGACTGCGCGATTTACCACTGAAACGGGACCCGTTGCCGATCCACGCCCCCTTGATCCATGTTTCCGATCGCCTGGCTCTTCCTGGCACGCCCGAAATCCGCCCGCCACCGTGCCCCAGGGCACGTTGAGGCGTGGAGGAATGCCAAGGTCTGTCTAGTAGGGTTTCAAAGCTAAGAAGGGGTCCTCCCCCTCTCTGTCCACAGACTCCTGCGCGTATCGCCCATTCTTTCTGAGGCCACATCCCTCGTGCCCGCTCGAGGATGGTGCACTTCCGGCATGACAGCTAATCCCGAAACCCTCATTCCACGCGTGCTCGCTCGCGGATGGTGCACTTCCCGTATGCCAGCTAATGCCTGACCCCCACCCTTCCACGCATGCCCGCTCGAGGATGGTGCACTCTCCGCGCGGCAACTGGTGCCTGAACCCTCATTCCCTGCGCGCCCGCTCGAAAATTATGCACTTCCCGCGTAACTTCTTACTCCTAAACGTAGGTTGGGCCTGTCCCCCTACAGGCGGCTTTTGGGCGACACATATAAAAATCAAACAATACACCCAGCATTATCAACAAATTAACCGCAACATCCTGCCCCGACCATGGCTTGACCATTCTTGAATGGCCCTCCTGTCGAGGGACAGGCCCGACTTGCTCCTGGACCCCCCGAACCCTCCACCTTCCGAACCTTCCGCGCGGCAGGTGCCGCGCCGCGGCGGACGCCGCCGCCGCCGAAACCGCTGCTGCGGCCTCGGCGGAAGCCGCAATGGCGGCCGCGGCGGCGGCCGCCGCGGCGTGGAACCTGCCGCGCGGAAGGTGCGGAAGGTGGAAACGCCCTCCCGCTCGAAGATCCACTGCTTCCCCGCACTCCCGGGGCGCTGCTGCCGCCGGGCCCCGGGGCCCCCGGAGGCCACGCTCCCTCTCGCTGGAAACTCGACGGGCCTGCGCCCCCCCGAGCTTCCAGGACGACCCGCGCAGGCAACCAGGGGCACCATCAGGTCGGGCCTGCCCCCCCCACAGGGGGATTTTGGACGAGACATGGCGCAGAATCGAAAGATGTGCAGAACCTGCTCCAAATGCTCAAACCGTCGTCCGTGGACACTATGTTTGGATGTGTTCCCCCTGTGGATGGACGGGCCCGACGTAAGGGCACCAAGATGGGCCAAGATACCTCGACGACGGCCCAAGATGGCACCGAGGCGGCCGAATATTGATTCAAGACGGCCCGAGATGTTTGCAAGGGGGCCCACGTGGCCACAAGAAGACCTCCAACAGGATCCGAAAGCCAAGAACATTGGTTCCCTTCTTGGGTTTTTGAATACTGGCTGGGGTATCGCCTTTTCGGGTTGCCGTCAGCTCAAGGCGACCAGGAGAACTCCACGATGGCTCAAGAAGCATCCATAACGGCCCCAAGACGACCCAAGAGGGCCTCACGTGGGACCCAAGACGGTCTTAGAAGGCCTCTGACAGCCCAAGCAGGCGCGAGGACGGCCCCCAGACACCCACCATACGGCCAAGAGGGTCCAACGACGGCTTAGGAGAGCCCCGAGCCGGCGTAAGAGGGTCCAATGATGGTCCAAGAGGGCCCCAAAGGACCCCCAAGACTGCCTCACAGGAGCCCAGGGCAGCCCCAAGACGACAAAAACTAGTTTCATCGTCAGCATCACCACCATCAACACCATCAACATGATTCTAAGCATCACCAGCATCATCGTCGTCGTTGTCGTCAACATCATCGTCATCATCAGCATCATCATCATCACCCTCACTCTCATTCTCACCATCGTCAGCGTGATCATCGGGGTTATCATATCATCATGAGCATCAACATCGTCACCCTCACCCTCACCCTCACCCTCACCATCGGCATCGTTATCGTCATCGTCATCGGCATCGTCATCACCAACAACAGTACCAGTATCAGCATCAACAGCCTAATCATCCTCATCATCATTGCAAGTTTCATCATCGTCATACTTATCGTCGTCAGCATCATCAGCACCATCAGCTTCATGATCCATATCCTCGTGTTCATCCTTATTAGCATCACCATTATCTATAGCATGAACATCTTCATCAGTACCATCATCCTCATGATCCTCATCCTCCTTCTCATCCTCAACATCTCACACAGGGCCCTTTCCCTCCACACACAGTACCTTCGGACCTGGACAATGGCACGCTAGTCACCGCCTGATTTGGCACTACTGCTCTGCGCAATCGCGTTGACGCGAAGGAGATGTAAGAAGCAAGCCGATCGAATATCATTCAGTGGCCACCTTAGTGTGTCGAAGGTCATTAGCAGGTCACTGGTGGGTCACTAGTGGGTCCATTGCACTCGTGGGCCACTCGTGGGCTGACTTCATCAGCGGGACGTTCGCGGGGCCGGTCGTGCAGCCATCGGTGGGCCACTTGAAGGTCATCAGAGATAGCAGGGCCTTCCATTAGCAGCTGTGATGGGAGGCCCACCTTGACATCATCATCATCATCATCATCATCATCATCATCATCATCATCATCATCATCATGGAAATCATCAGCATCATCATCACCATCACCATCACCATCACCATCACCATCACCATCACCATCACCATCACCATCATCATCATCATCATCATCATCATCATCATCCTCATCCTCATCCTCATCATCATCATCATCATCATCATCATCATCATCATCATCATCATCGTCATCATTACCATAAACATAATCATCAACATCGTCGTCATCATCAGCATCATTATCATGATGACCATGATTTAGATTCTCATCACCGCCGTAGACATCGTCATCGTCATCGTCGTCATCATCATCGTCATCATCATCGTCATCCCTCGAACAGTCGCAACCGAAACTGCTGGGCTGGCACGGTAACGTGACTTGCCGCAGGCAAATGGATAGTAGGGTAAGGGCGGGCACGATGGCCTAACAGCTCATGTGGTCCAACATCGGCGGCGCCCGCTGTTGGGCGAACGCCCTCTTGCATCAAGCGGAGAACGATCCGCGGCGACACGGACAAAACAAATCCTGCCCGAATTGGACAAAATCTGTCTCGCTCCGTTTCCCTCCGCACCCTCTGGTCCGACAGTGCCGACCACCTTCCCCAGCCTTGGGTCGGGCATGTCCCCCTACAGGCGGATTGTGGACGAAAAATCAAAAATACTCCGGACACGTTCCAGAAAGGCCAACAATAGTCAAACAAGCGTCCCCAAACGATTTTTAGATTATTTTGAAAATTCCCTCTGTAGAGGGGCAGGCCCGACTTAACCCAAGCCCCCTGGGCGCCACCCAAAGCGTGCGGGGGAGACTCGCGCGGCAGCGCAGCTGGATGCTCCGGACCACTGAGACCCTGTGCTCCACCACCTCCGGCGTCACCTCGCCGCGGGTCGGCAAAGGCCTCCGGACCAAATGGGTCCTGGATCCCGGGGCACCCTCCGAACATAAAATCATCCCCAAGCAATGCTTACACTTAGGGGCTCCTGCTTGTCACTAAGGGGCTGGGCGGGTGTCGCGGTCTGGCGGCCACGTAGTCGCCGTCGCCGCCCTGTCACTGCCTCGTCGCCGCCCGTCGTCTGGGCTGGTGTGGCGGTCTGGCAGCTGTGTGGTCGCCGTCGACGCCCCGAGGCTGCCTCATCCACGCCCGTCGTCTGGGCCCATGTGGCGGTCGGGCGGCTGTGTCCGCCGCCGTGCCCTTCGGCACGGAGTGGGCGTGTCATCAGGTCCTTTGCCCGATCCTCCAAGCATCGATCCTCGACCCAGAACCGACCAGTAACTGGGGGAGCCGTGAGTGAGTGGGCGTGTCATCAGGTCCTTTGCCTGGTCCTCTAAGCATCGAGCCTCGGCCCAGAAGGTTCTCAAAGGGGGGCGGAGCCCAAGTTGCCAGACCTCCTCGGGCTTGCCGCATGCCCCTCCTGGGCTCCCCCGCGCCTCCCCGCGCGATGTTTTTCGGGCCCACAAAGGCCCAAAGAGACAGGCCAGGAGAACCCCAGGAGACTCCCAAGAAGACCAAGGAGGGCTTCGAGAGGCCTGAAATCGCCCCAAGAAGCCCAAGATGGCCCCAAGACGGTCCAAGAGGCCTCCAAGACGGTCCAAGAGTCTTCCCAAGAGGGCCCGAAGATGCAGAGTCATTGATTTCTGCTAGGTGTGATACATATTTTGGCGTTCTTGCCTTTTCTGCTTCTCGACGCTCCAAGACGGCCCAAGAAGCCCCCAAGATCGCCCCAAGACGATCCAAAATGCGGGCCTGAGGGCCCCAAAACGGCCCAAAAGGGCCCAAAAGGCCGCAGAGACGGCTCAAAGTGAGGGCCCACATGGGGGACTAGAATGTACATTTCGAGGTCCCAGGCCCTGAGGGGCTCCAAGGAGGCCCCCAGAGGCCTCCCAGAGGCCTCCCAGGTGTCCCCGAGAGGCCCCAAGTGGCCCCCAGAGGCCTCAAGGGGCCCTCAAGGGTCCCCAAGAGGCTCCCAGTAAACCCCAAAGCTGCCCCAAAGATGCCCCCGAGAACGCTCCGAAGAGATCCCTAAAAGCATCCCTGAGAACTCCGACAAACAACCTAGGCACTGTGGCGGAAGGAGCCGAAGACCACTAGATAGTCGCCGTCGCCGCCCCGTCGCCACCTCGTCGCCGCACGTCCCCTGGGCCGGTGTGGCGGTCTGGCGGCTATGTAATCGCGGTCGCCGCCAATCGCCGCCTCGTCGTCGCCCGTCGTCTGGGTCTGTCTGTCGGTCTGTTGGCTATGTTGCCGACGTCGCCGACCCGTCGCCGCCTCGTCGGCACCCGTCGTCTAAGCCTTGTTGTGCAGTGGGGTGCGCTGCTATGCACTGCTTTGCACGTTTGTTGGCGTTTCATGCGTTGCTTTGGGTTGCTTCGCATTGCGTTGCGCTCCATTGCGTGGCCGTGCCATGTTTTGCAAAATATTATGTTAATTGCTTTGCATTGTTACGCTTTGTTAGGGATTACTCTGCATTGCGTTGCGTTGCTCCGCCATGCTTAGGACTGCGTTGCTTTGCACTCCCTGTCCCCTCCTCCCCCCTGCATTGCGTGGCTGCGCATTGAGTTGCGTTGTTCTCGTGGCTTTGCACTGCTCTGCGTGGCTTTGCGTTGCTTTGCGTTGCTTTCAATTGCTTGGCGCTGCAACGCACTGCTGGTCCAGTGCTTGCCAGTGCAGTGCACATTGATTTGTTGTTTCCTCTGCTGTGAGCTGCTCTGCGCCGCATAAATGACACAACGTGGATCGCTCCCGCCTAGATAGAGTCAACCAGTATAGTAAGGATGCGCGATAAGGATGCAAAGGCCTTGGACGCCCATCTCGAAGCTTCTCGAGCGGGGTGCGGCCGGCGAAAGCGGCAAAGGATGGACCGAGGAGGCAAGGATGCAAGGGTACACATCGCTCATTTCAAATCGTGCTCATTTCTAAGTGTGCTCGCTTCTATGTTCATGGCCCCCTATCGGCCAGGAAGAAGCCCAGGATAGAACAAATAGAAATGAAAGGGTCTTGGCCCCCCGAAAATCAAAGAACTTTCGAATACTTAGAAATTCACCATGTGTACCCTTGGGAGGGTTGCCCGTCCTTGCCATGCGGGTTGACTGTAGCTAACGCCATACCGACTGCACCACCAAGCCTGCGCCGCACAGCTGCAAGAGAGGAGCACTGCCTGGGGGCTCCACGGCGCCTCGAATCTACTTCACATCCCAAAGAAGCACTTCACAAGCCTAGACTTAGGTCTAGGTCGGGCATGTCCCCCTACAGGCAGATGTTGGACGATGTTTTTCCTTTTTAGATATAATTACATAGAATACATAATTAATCACACAAGCCCAAACAGTCAAACAATGAATTCATAATGGTCAAAGATAGTCAGAACATCGTCCGTAGACTATTTTTGGACTACTTGTTGAAACTCCTCCTGTAGAGGGACACGCCCGACTTTAACTTCGGTCCACGAAGACTCCTCGGATCGGCGCTAGACCGACCACCATGGTCGCGCCTCCGGCGCCGCCCCTGGCGCGCTCCGCGCGCCAAGGAGGGGTGTCCAGCAGCGATCCAAAAGATCCCCGGGGAGCTTCGACAGTGCATGCTCATGCATGTTTTTCATCCCGCGTATCCCGAATTGTATTTTCTGACGGTCCCGAGCCCCCCAGGCCCCCGAGAACGAGAGGCCGGAAGCGCAGAAACGCATTTTGCCCCGCGGCTCGGCAGGAGGCAGTCCGCACGCGCGTCCAGGCAACCCCAGGGCTGCGACGTTGCGAGCCCGTCCCGCGTGCAGAGGAGGAGGGCGGGAGACGAGGAGCGGCGCGGAGACAGGAGGCGAGAAAGAGAGCACTCACTTTGTCTTAAACCAGCCAAGAGGATATAACAATAAACAACGGCATGAACATACACTTTTGGCGCTCCGCGCGAATTTCTTGGATCTGCGCGAGAGGATGGCGAGTTTGATATCGATGGTGACACCGGTGGCGAGAATGCAACTGATATCGAGATTGAGATCCATGGTAACATCGAGATTGAGATCGAACGTGCGACCAATTGTTGTTCTCATGGTGTCCCGATAATGCGTCCCGCGCTATCCCGTCGATGTCCCGCGGGGTGTCCCGTCGGTGTCCCAGGGTGAGTTCGTTCGCGCCGAGTCGACAGCGAGAGATCGACAATGAGATCGATTGTGAGATCGATCGCGCCATGTCGATCCCTCCCTGGCGCGGGGCGCCGGGAGGACCCAGCGCGGATCCAAGAAATCCGCGCGGAGCGCCAACAGTTGACGTTTCTGGCATCTTTTTCCCCTCCGACGAGAGAAGCCCCGTGGCAAGCGACCACGAGGGTACGACACGACCGAGGCACTCGCGCGGCGAGGCCGCGGGGGGGGGGGGCGCGGGGCGGCCAGGCCGCGGGGCAGTCCCCGGACGCGCAGAGGCACGCCGGGAGCCTCCTTTGTTCCCCCGGGGCTCCCTCTGGCGCACGGCGACGCCTCGTGGTATACTCCGCGCAAAAGCGGCCCCGGGGCCCTCCTCGAGGGGATCCGTCCTGGCCAGCTGCTCGAGCTGCGTCCTGCCGTGGCGACGAAAACTTCGACACGCACAGACACACACACACAGACACACAGACACATAGGCACACACACAGACGCACGCACGCACGCACGCACACGCATGCGCACACGCACACAACACACATCACAGAACACAGAACACAGAACACAGAACACAGAGCACACAGCACACAGCACACAGCACACAGCACACAACACACAATACACACCACACACACCACATATGCACACGCACCTCAAATACAGTGGGACCTAAGACATAATAACATCCTTCAAGATCATGAGACCCCCTGCCGGCCAAAATCGAGAGCGTTCGAGGGGACCCTCCCCCAGGATGCACAATAATGTCCAACAAGCAATAAGTACATGGGGCACCCTCCCCGAGCCGACCCCGATCGTATACCTCGGTCCGACTGTAGAGGAACAAACCCTGCTTACAATGGACAAGCGGAGCTCCGCGCAGAACTCCAACACAAACATGTGGATGCTTGGCTCTCCGACGCACTGACTCTTCCTCTGGCGGCGAGGTGGCGGCATCGTCGCAAGCTCTAAGCCTTCAAGCGCGTAGCAGGCGGGTGGACTGGACATGGCAGTCGCGTGCAAAGTAGGGGCCCAACCACAAGAAATCTTCCACAAGAAACCCAAGCCTAAGACCCCAGGACGTCCATTGATTTTAGGTGCGGGAAGGTCACGCTGTCCATGGCAAAACCATCGAAACCCAAGAACACAAGGGCAACCTGGAGGCGATCAGGGTGTTTCTTGGCATCGGTCTCCACTGTAGGGGGAAACGGCCATGGCGATCACGCACGTGGAAGACATCGGCGTGCGACAACCTGAAACAAAACCACCCACACACGCACACGAACCTCCTCCTCCTCCTCCGACGCCGACGAAGGCGCGTCACCATGCCCACGCCGTCGCACTTGTGGCAATGGCCGGAACCCTGCACCAGGTCGCCGCGAATGTTCTGCGCACAGCCGCCGCACTCTGGGCACCCCTGCTGCGCGCGGCCGAAGTCCCCCGTCGTGGCGTGCAGGCCAACCGAGGGCGACAGGAACATGGCGAAGAAGAAGCCCTCGCGGGAGGCAGGAACCCGCGGCGCGCATGAGTGGGGGGGGCAGGGGGGGGGGGGAGGGCTCCCGGGAAGGAGGCTGCTCACAGACAGGGCCCGGGCCTCCTCCCCCGAGCACCCGGGGTGCCTCTGCGAGACGCCTCCCCCCCCCGCCCCGCGGGCCCGCTCTCCGCGCGTGGCCGGAGGGAGACCGACGCGCCCAGCGTCGCGAGGATCGCGCCCCGTGAGGCGCGACGCGCATCCATCTTGTCGCCCTCGCGCCCTCGTGAGATGAAAGTCGCAGCTACGCGAGGCTTTGCCATTGCGGCGAAGGGCAGCTTTGTCGGGTGTCGGGTGGTTGTGCTCCGGCTCAGGGACCAACGCAACTCTGCTGCTGACGGCCATGGGAATGGTCGGCGGCGAGCGAGGGGGGGAAGTGAGAAGGAGAAGGCCTTCTCGGAAGGCGGGGGGGCTTCTCAGAAGCCCTCGCGCGTTCTGACTGTTTTTTTTTCTGTCTGCGGGGAAAGCTTCTGAAACTTCTCAGAAGGCTGGGGAAGTGAGAAGGCCTTCTCCTTCTCACCTCCCCCCCTCGCTCGCCGCCGAAATGGGACGCGCCCTCGCTGCGCCCCCTCGCACCAGGGCAGCCGCCCTGGCCAGCCTGGGCCCCCCGCGCGCCGCGCGCGCGCGGCGACGCAGCTACCTTCGCGCCCACGAGGAGTGGCACAGACACGCTACGGCAGGCGCTCGCCGTCGCCGTCGCCTCGGACGTCCTGCGACCGAGAGCACCTACAGGTCACGGTGCCCTCCCCCAGCATGCACAGGAGCACCGAACAGACACGACGAACATTAGGCTACCCTCCCCGAGCCGACCTCGACCTTCTACCTCGGTCCGACTGCATTCAGGGCACACTTTTTTGGGGAGGCATGGCGTTCGGCCTCCTGGCGTCGGCTGCGGGCCTGGGAGCCGTCAGCAGGCTGCTAGGAATGGGACACTGGCCCCGTCTGTAGGTCTGGACCCCACATCTTGAAACGAGCATCGCGCCGCTAAATGTTTTGGCCGTCGTCGCCAAGCCTTCCGGGGGGACTCATGGAAGCGTCCCGTGTCATCTCGCTGGCTCTTGCGAATCGACGCTGACAGACGCGAATGGTCGCTAAATCGACAATATTCGGCGCTGAGTTGGCTCATTCTCACCGCCTACCAGACGCTAACGCACGCTAATCCACCCTAGTGGTGGAAGCTGGGGGCTCCTAGATGTGGTCGGAGTAGGTGGGGTCGCAAGATCGCGCCGCATCGACGATGCATCGGCGGTGCACGGGCGATGCACCGGCGATGCATTGTCGACGTCGGAAATGCATCGGCGACGTCGGCGTGCATCGGCGATGCATCGAGCTGCATGGAGCCGCATCGGCGATGCATCGGCGATGCGGCGCCCCCCCAATATTAGGTCGGGCATGTCCCCTACAGGCGGATTATGGGCACACGCAAGAAAGATAGTGCAACAAGAACTCCAAAAAATGCAATACTAGCTGTTTTGTGAATCGCCCCCAGACTATGTTTGAAGTATGTTCATGACTACTCCTCTGGTAGAGGGACATGCCCGACTTAACCCCAACCATGACATCCACCCCATTGGTCTTATGTTGTTCCCATCGCACTTAAGGACCACATCCCAGACATAAGTTAAAGCACCCAGACAAATATCGAAACAATGTCGAAACAGTGTCTTCCAGGGCCCCACGCGCGAAAACCTTCGAATTTTGCTGCTTTCTTGGTGCTCGAAATTCTTCCAAGTGATGCGGGCTAAAAAAGGTTGGAACATCATAACCCCAGCCGTGATATCCACCCCCCCTGGTCACCAGCATCCTAGCCCCACTTAACCCCAGCCATGATATCCACCCCCCTCCTCCATCCTCCATCCTTCCTCCTCCCTCCTCCGTCCTCCCTCCTCCCTCCTCCTATCTCCCTCCTTCCTCCTGCTTCCTCCCTCCTCCTTCCTCCCCCCCTTGGTCACCATCATCCCCCTCTTGAACTCCCGACCCTTCTGCATGACTCGGCGGGGCCGAAACCAGCTGCATGCAACAGATGTCGTAGCCCCCCTTTCCCTATCCCCCCCCCTTTCGTTCGGCCCGAATCCCCTTCTCGAGCTCCCGACCCTCCCCCCGCACCCCCCCCTTTTGGCGCGTCGGGCAGAGCGGCGTCGCAAGGGGGGCCCGCGGAGAAGGCGGCCCGTGGGCGTCAGAAGGCTCACGCTCAACAGCGTGCAACAAAACGAAAAGAGGGCTCGGCAGTAGATAGGAAAGGAACAAACAGGCATACACAGAAACTGTTGGCGCTCCGCGCGGGCCTCCCTCCCTGGCGCGCGGAGCGCGCCGATGGGGGCGGCGCCGCCGGGGAGGGGGGTCCAGCGCGGATCCGAGAATCCACGCGGAGCGCCACAAGTTTATGTGTATAACGTTGTTCTTCTTCGATCAGCTGCATGCAATGAAAAGAAAAAAAGGGCTTGGCAGTAGAGGTGCTTCGCAGTAAAGCAGCATAATGCGTATCAAAATATACTTCGTCCACCTTACTTTTGCGTGCACAGGCAGCGATGACAGACAACTCCACGCAGAGAGGGTGTATGCTGTTCCGCCCTCTTGCCTTGCCGCCGCACTGAGTACACTTGCCGGACCCCATGCACGTGGTGCACGTCTTGGGCTGCCTGGCAAGCCAATCCTCGTGGTCTTGAAGCGCCTTCAGGCGCCTCTCCTCTTCCTCCTGCCTCTCTCTCTCCTTGGGGGTCGTTGGACTGCACCCTCTTCTGGACCTCCTCCCGATTCTCTTCATGTTCCTCGTCTTCCTCGTCCCCGTTCCACTCCCTCTTCCCCTCCCAGGCCCCCTCCCTCCCACCCATGCCCCTCCCCCTTCCTTTTCGTGCTCCTCGTGCCCCTCTCCCCCTCCCCGCCCTCCTCCCTCCCCTCCGTCCCCATCTCCCTCTCTCGCCGCCGCCGTCCTCCTCCTCCTCTCCGCCCACGCGCGCACAGTGGCCGATGGCACCCCGTCCCTGCCCTACCGCCCTTGGCCCCCCAGATTGCAACGACAACGGCTCCCGCCTGCGACTTCCTCCAGATTCACTGAAGACCCCCGCTCCTGAGACTTCCTCTCAATTTACTCAGGATCGGTGCTCCCGCCTGTGATTTCCTCACAATTTAGTCAGGACCCCCCGCTCCCACCTGAGACTTCCTCAGAATTTACCCAGGAACGGCGCTCCAACTTGAGACTTCCTCGCAATTGAATCAAGACTTCCTCGCAATTAAATCGAAACCCCCAGTTCCCACGCCCTTCACAGTTTTCAAGAATTGCGTGCTCGCCTGTGACTTCCATGCAATGCATTCAGACATGGCGATTTCGACGCTCAAGAAACACGCTGCGCCAAGGACGCCGCTACAATTTACTTAATAATTCTCGCCATACTCAGGCATCCCGCTTGAATGTCCCACCCGCCCGACCCGCCCGTCAGGGGATCGCCCGCCCGTCGTGGGCCCCCGTCCGAGACTTCCTTCAGGAACGGCGCTTTTGCCTAGGACTTCCTCGAACGTTCACGCTCTTACCTTTCTGTTCCTCCTCCCTCTCTCTCCTCCCTCCTGCCTCCTCTCCTCCCTTTTCTCTTCCTTCTCTCTTCCCTCATCCTTCTGCCTCTCTGCCCTATCCCCCCTCCCGCGTCTACCTCGTCCCTTCTCCCTCCCCTCTCCTGCCTCCTCCCTCCCTCTTTCTTTCTTTCTCTCCCCCCTCTCTCTCTCTATATCTCTCTCTCTTTCTCTACCTCTCTTATCAGTCTTTCTCTCTCTCTCTCGTTCTCTGTCTCTGCCTCTTATCAACCACCCCCTCTTCGATCCTTCTCTCCTGGCGTTTTCCCTCTTCCTTCGTCCTTCCCCCTCCCTTCCTTCCACTCTCCCTCGTTCTCCCCCTCATGATTTTGCAGGGCCCACACCAATTCCAATGGCGGGCATATGTACGCCCACGAAAGATTGTCCGCCATGTCAGGTTCGTCCGCCTGTCTCTAAGCCCGCCGCCCACCGCAAAGAGAAATAATCCACCCAAAGGAGGTGTGATCGAAGTCGAAAAGGGCGGGTTTCGAGGGTGTGGGGAATTCGTTTTGAATGACACGCGGGCAAGTAAGAGCGAACAGTCTTAGACTGATTGTTGTTGCTACTTCCTCGCACCTCAGCCAGTGGCCGACAAGGAAGATATTCCCCCTGGAGGGGTGCAATCGAAGACGAAGTGGGAAGGTGAGGGTCAGGGTATACAGAATGCAAGACACGCGTGCCAGTAAGAGCGAACAGTTTCAACATGATTGTTGTTGATGTTGTTGATATTGTTGCTGCTGTTGTCGTTGCTGCTGTTCTGCGACTGGGAGGGTTTGATGCTCGTTCTGGGGGCCTTCCTGGAGTCACCCGCTCCACCCTTTCACCCTTGATGCCCGTTCCACCCCGTCGGACGTCCGTCGACTTGAGTCGAAATCGATTCGGGCTTGAGCCGAACTTGAGTCGAATCAGAGCTAAGCGACATCATCTATGACTTGAGCAGAGCTTCCCGGCGTGCCCCAGGAAGAAGAAGCAAACGAACCAACCTCGCTTTGAACCACCCCCGCTCCCGAACGGGAGCCAAACGATGCCAAACTGCATGCCCATGGGGCGGCACGCAACGGTGGGGCTCCCTGACGAGGAGGCCCGTGGTATGAACCGGTTCCGCCTGGAAGCGAAAGCGGGGTAGGCATCTCACCCTGTCAAGAAAGGTGCCCCCAACGAGCGTCCCAGGGACGCGGGTCGTCTCGGCTGAGTGGCCCTGGGTACAGCCAAGAATAACCCCCCAGGGAGAATAAAGTTCGGCGGTTACGGTGCGATAATAAAAGTTGCCCACCAGGACCAGCATAAAGATGTTAACAGAGGAGCCAAAGCCGAGGATATCTTGAGGCATCCTTGGCTTTTTGTCCTCTCTGAGACATCCTCAATCCACAATTCAAAACCTATTCGATTTTATGTGTAAGCGCTTGACGGAAATTAAGATGTTCATCTGCCCGTGTAGGGTAGCTCATCTGCCTCGTTTTCCCAGGATAATCAACCACAGCGATAAACAAGTTCAGGGCGCCAGGGGGAGGAGGAGGAGGAGGATGAGGAGGAGAGGAGAAGGAGACATCCTTACGAAACGTACTGTTTCGCTCGAGACGTCCTTCAGTGTGTGCTTGTTTCGCTTGAGACATTCTCGAGTGTATGCTCGTTTCGCTTGAGGTTGCTATCTCAACATAAGAAGGAAGTAATCTCGATGGCGAGCTTTTCACGGTGATAATGAAGTTCGGCCTCCGCGCCCCCGCGCCCCCGACCAAACTCTTATTGGCCGTAGATAATCAACTCTTATGTGTATATGGGGGGGTACATTATTATCGTGGGTACCCGGCTAAGACTGACCTTTAGTGTGCGGCTGGTTGGGGGGCCGCAGGGCGACCACACCCAAACGCGCAGGACGCTACCTATCGCATCGCGCTCGGCGATCGGGGGACCCAAATGAACCCATACCAAAGGTCACTCCGGCGAATGGGTCACTCTTACCCAGACCCCCGACGTCGTGTTTTTTTCACGACTCGATCCCCAAAAGTCTCGACCCCTTCCCCGGGACCGGTTTTTCATCCTGAGCCACTTGTGAGGGCCCCCACAGGCAGAACATGTAGGAAAACCTCCAATCGTATTTTTTCACAGCGCGAGGGGGGAGGAGCACAAAACGGCTTGTTGGATCTGCGCTGGACACCCTCCCTGGCGCGCGGAGCGCGCCAGTGGCGGCGCCGGAGGCGCCGCCATGGGGGCCCAGCGCGGATCCAAGAAATCCGCGCGGAGCGCCAAAAAATCCTTCTTCGATCGTAGCCGGTAAGGGCCCCCAAAGGCCGAAAATGGCGGACAACCTCCAGCCGTGATTTTTTAAAGAGCGAGGGGGTCTGGGGAGACCACAAAGTACAGATACCGCTTCCTCCCCTGGCCTCTCCCGGGGTGCGTTCTGACCTGGATTTCGCAGCGGATCACGCGGTGGCGACGATGGCCGCCAAGGAGGCCAACAAAAACGAGAAAACGGGGGACTGGTAGCGGTATGGGTACGTCTAGTCGATCGTCGCCGCAGCTCCTACAGCTCGAGGCATTCCTTCTGGGCCTTCTCTTAGGTCGGGCATGTTCTCCTACAGGCAGATTTTGGAGGAAGAACTGAACTCACAAAAAAATAATCGGAAATAATCAAAAAATACTTCAAACATCGCCCCGAACCTATCTGTGGACTATTCGGGAATATTCCTCCTGTAAAACGACAGGCCGACATAACTCACATGAGCGCAACAAACAGAAAATAAAGCAAAAATCGTCCGCGTACTATGTTCTGACTATTTGAAGGTTCCTCCTGTAGAGGGGCAGGCCCGACATAAATCTAGTCGATCGTCGCCGCAAGTCCTCCAGCTCGAAGCGCTCTCTCCGGCCTTCTCTTACGTCGGACAGATACTCCAACAATCGCCCCCAGACTATGTTTGGACTGTTTGTGCATACTCTTCCTGTAGAGAGACAGACTGAAGCCTCAAATCTAGTCCTGAGGGCTCACGGTGAAATCCATATGGGCTTTTGCACCTCGAAAATCAATTCGTCTTGTGGTTCACCGTTTGCAGATTCAACCCTCAAAAATCAATCGAAAAGGCATTTCAGATTTCACCCTTTACCCACCACCCGAAGAAAATGCTCGGTAGTCGATCGTCGCCGCAGGTCCTCCAACTCGAGGCGCTCCTTCCGGGCCTGCTCCTCCAGAGCCCGCTGGCGTTGCTGGTCTTCCTCCTGCTGCTTGCGCCGCCGGGCCTCCCTCTCCTCGAGCCGCCGCCTCTTCTCGTCCTCGGGGAGGAGGAGGAGGAGGAGGAGGAGGAGGAGGAGGAGGAGGAGGACGAGGAGGGGGAGGAGCGGAAGAGGAGGAGGAGGAGGAGGAAGAGGAAAAGGAGGAGGAAAAGGAGCAGGAGGAGGAGGAAAAGGAGGAGGATACGACGCTGGCTGGCTGACGCCGCGCTCCGAGGTCAAGCCGCGGGCACCAGGCGTGCACAGGCGAACGGGCAGCCTGAGCGGCCACCCGAGGTGCCAAGAAAGACGGTGGCCCCCGTCCGAGAAACACGATCTCGGAGCCCAGCAGGCACCAAATAAAGAGGACAAGGAAAACAAGAGGATGAAGGTCCGCGGGGAGCACACCAGCAAGGGTGCTCCACTCTCGCGACCCTAATCTCTGGACTCGAGACGATATCGTGAAGATCGGTTCGCTGGGAGCCTGACCCAATACGTTTCTGGGTCGGCATCATGTACAGGACGAGGCGCACGGATCCTGCGAGAATCCTGTCCGCCCTCGTCCCCAGGGTGATACCCTGCCAAAAGCTGTTTTCGGTTCCGAAAGGCCCGTTCCGAATGCCGAAATGCAGGGTCGGTGGACGAACATCCTACCAACAAATGTCCTGCCGTGCAAGTGGTGAAAACCCACAAGGAACGCGAAGGCAAACGTGCCCCGAGGAAACACAGAGACGATACCCCCTGGCCGCGGACGCGGGAACGGGCCCCGTTTCTGGCATGACACGGTCAGGCGCCACTGTGGCGGCCATGGTACGCCTGTCCCTGCGATGGCCGACAGTTTTCCAACGCTTATCAGGCGAAACGCGGGGCCCTCGCGATCTGGAATCCCAAGATCCCTGATCGCAAGGTCTCTGTGCTTTGAGGCGCCATCCCTAACCGAGACGATCGGTTCGAAGCTGACCCGAGGACGAACGTGGCGCTCGGGCCCACTACTCGGGGAGAGGCTGCGCTGGCGTCGTATACCAAGGGAAAACGGCGCCGCCTCCTCGGGCCTGAGAGTCCCTTCCCGAGATTCACACGACCGAGCGACAGCAGAGGAAAAAAAAAGGTGGTCACAGCAGGCAGCGATGCCAGGACCACGGCCGCCATGACTCGGCCTACCTACACTGTCCTGGCCGCCCGCGGCGTCGCCAGGAATGCAGGGGGCGGAGGCAGACGCGGTCAAGGCCGCAGCCTTGGCAGCGCGAGTCCGAGCAGGGCAGGCGCGACGAGGGAGTAGACTGCGGGTACTCTCAAGCACCGAACCTTTCTTACAAAACTGACATCGACAAAACTTGGCCCCAACGGGCCGAAGACCGTGTCGGGGCTCCGAGGGAACACCGCGGGAAACGGCGGCAGGAGCCCCGCGGGGCCTGGGCGGCTTCCTGCCCCGAAGTCGGGTGTGAAACCGCCCCCCCCCCCCCCCCCCCCCCCTCCCCCCTCCCCAGGCGGTGAGAGCATGTGCAATCCAACGGAGAAGCGAGTCATATTGCCGAATGCCTATGCGCATGGCCTTTCGCTGTATCTTGGGGGCCGAGTGGGTGTTCCGCCCGAGACATGCAGCACGGTCGCCCATCGGCTGCCAACAGCATGGGCATGGGCCCCGCGCTGATGGCCCCTGACGGGGACTGCACTGATGCCAACTTCGAACCCCCCGAGGTCATGAATTTTGCTCGAGGTGCCCCCCCCCCATAGATCAACATTCAAACGCCGATGGGGGCAGCGCCACTGAGGGCCACTATTGAGACCGCCCAAGAGGCCTTTGCAGCCCGCATGGACCACGACAGGGGGACGGGGGGGGGGGGCATACCTGGAGGGCCTGGAAGAAAGCGAAAAGCTCGGCCGTAGGAGAAGACTGCACTGGGCCCGGCAGAGGCCCCGACACCAGGATGTCGATGCCCTGCCTCGCGAAGCCCCAGCCCGCTCGGGCCGCCCTGTGCCAATGCAACATACGTGAGCATGCGCCGTCGGTATACGCGCGGCCCGAGATCCCTTGCGTGTTACCATAATGTACCGTCCATCGAATGTCATCTATCCTCGGCGGTATCGCAGGGAAGCTGCTGCGACTGACCAGCCCAGGCGACCACAACAAGGAGTCTCGAGACATAGTGGGGGGCCCTCTCTGGTCGAAAGAGCACAGGACTTATGTTCGCATCGTGTCCAGGAAGGGGCACTGCCATAGGATGCGGTAGATGCCACATTGTTCCTGTCCGCAGTGCGGGCTACACGAGTCCGATCTGCATCCGCAACGGCGAATCTTGTCTGGCGTGCATAGGCCTCCAGCCACGATAGCACGAATAAGACCGCCTTCTTTAAAGTCTGGCTGCCACGCGCGCGGAGGCTCGCTGGGCCCACGTGCATCGACGACGTCGTCTGGAATCACGTACAAGTCATCGGTATCCTGATCGCTGCAAAAGTCTGGATCTGGAGCGGGGATCGGATCTACGATGTTGATGATTGGTTCCACCCAGTAGCCGGTTGGTTCCTTGGGGCAGGCGGGTTTACCAGCCAGCTGCGGCCGTGATGCCCATCTCTCCCACAGCCTCCGAACTGCGGCCTCGCGGGCCAAAGCCCGCATCGTGGATGGAGCCCCCCGCCGGTGTCAAAGACAGTGCCCAAGTCGGTGCAGCACGCGAACCCACTGGAGGCCGCCGTCCATCGGACGTCCTTGAGGGCAAGAGCAGTAGCCCCAGCGGGGCCCGCCACGTGCTTCCAAGGGGAATTGGCTTCAGATAGCTGTGTGCGCGCCTGCGTGCACCGCGCCGCCTGCAGCACGTGCGAGGGGATGGCGGCGTCTTGGCTCAAAAGGGCCCACTGAGATAAAGGCGCAGTCCACGCCTCTCCCTGCGGGTCTGCGTACAACAAGCCTTGCAAGCAAGATGTTACCCAACAGGAAATACCTGCTCCTGGCGCATGCAACGCCGTTCTCTGACCAGCATGCATTTGGCCAACGAGCCTCGGGGGAGCGCCATGCACCCCCAGCCCGTAGGTAGCCGCAGGCGGCACTGCCTGCTTAATAAATTTCGTGAGCAGCGCCCCAGCCTTACGAAGAGTACGAAATCGAGATCGACGACGAACGGCCCCGCCCACCCTCTGTCTCAACTTGGAATACAGGATGGGCCGGCCCGACGCAACCTCAACGCCCGAGACCTCCAAGGCTGTGGCGCATTGGTATCCTAGGGGGGCCAGCTGCTTGCATGCCCACTCTCCGAGCTTAGGGATGCTGCTCGTGACCTTCATCTTGTGAGCAGCTGGTGGCAAGCCCAATATCTTAAGGACGTGGATTAGCTACCGAAGGAGCTTTCGAGACCAGTCGCATATCTTAGAGACGGCAGCTCGGACGCCGATCGCGATGTCGTCCGCGCAAAGATCCAAAGAACGCGGGGTGAACGATGCGCGTCTCTCAAGAGAGTCGAAGGCCGTCAGCATTACACACTGCAGTGCGAACGTGGCTAGCGGGCAACCTGGCAGCACGCCCTGGCGGGAACCGTGTCAAAAAACAACTGTCCAACCCCGACGTTCTCCCTCCCATGTGCATCCTGAATGCAAGCGACATGAGCTGGCCTGGGAATTGGTGTGCGGACGCAGCCCGAAGTAGCGTGCTCCATGACACCTCTTCGCTGTATCCACAATCGCGTGGGCGGAAGCCTCGCTCTGAGAGATCTGACCTGCTTCCGCCTGGACAGATACCCTGGCAGAAACGCCGGCGGAAGCGCGTCGAGACCCCACGGCCAAATAATTACGCCCAAGACGCGACGCCCAAAAACTGACCCAATCAAGGCGCGACCTGGCCCAGACTCGGAATATAGAGGGAAGTAAAACGATGAGGGCGGTCGCCCCCAGACGGCTTCCCCGAGGGAGCGATGTGAACTCGGGCCAGCATGCGAGACGACATCCCAAACGTTTCACAAAGGTCAAAACATAACCGAGACACGCCAATGTTCCATGTGATACCAAGGCCCATGCGAGGCCAATTTGCATACACCACCACCGCCCGCAACAACAATTTTCCGCAAGAAAGGTTCGGGGCAGGGTCGTGCCAGACGACGCTGCAACGCCACGGCGAAAAGGAGCGCGGCGCAGCTCGCAAGCGCCGGGGCATGGGGAGTTCCTGAAGCAGAAACAGGACTGCTTGGTGGTGGTGTATAAAAATCACTCCCCTTGGCACCTTGGTAACCAAACTTCTATACACCACCACCGCGTGTGCTTTGATGAATTCTGTTTCGGCCCTTGCGGGAAAGGTGGCAGCCCGGTTGCCGCTGGCGGCGGGGGGGGGGGCGGCGGGCTTTTCACCGGAGCAAAACCGCACCAAATCGCATCGTATATTATTGTCGATCTTGGTGGTGGTAGTCAGATACTGTGCTCGGAGCCCAGTGACGAGGCCTAGATCGATCCCCACATACTGCCGCACGCCAAAGAAATTGAAGAGCTGCTCGTCGCAGTTCTGCAATTGCAAGCGGAGGAAGCCGAGGTCCATTCGTGTGAAGGTGCTGGAGGTCCTGGAACACGACATCGTCCATGTCCCCGAGTATGCTTTCGCTACTGGCAGCTGGCCCCGAGGGGGCCCCGTCTCAGACTTCAGACCAGGAGCCCCGTCAATTCTCGCAGATATCAATCGCAGCAGGCCCCAAAGCTGTGTGCACCTGAGCCAGTTTCCACCCTCTCGGCTTAGACCACTTGTGTATAGGGCCTGGCTGGGTACGGAGCTGGTCCCGCATCCAGATCGAACAGGAGCGTGCGCGTGCAGCAGAAAGCCGACGCTCATCGACCTGCGCATGTCTGACAAGGTGATATCCCAGGAAACGCAGCATGTTAGGGTGCCAGCTGGTGGAGGAAAAGATCTGATCGATGAGGTCGGTGAAAATAGCCGATGCCTCCGAATCGACGTGCCTCCTCATGTTCCCTTCCGTGCCCTCCTGAGCAACGAATTGGTAGAGGTGTCTCCACTCCCTGTCTGCATGCGCGCGGCCCTTGCCAAGGGCGATCTGAAAATTGTAAACCCGCAGCTGTAGGGGCCGAGGCGC